GAACGTCGTTATAGGACTCCTAGCGTAACACAATACACACATACACAAACACACACACACACACACACACACAATGTATTATATATTTACACACACGACACATACACAATACGTGCTGTATATTCTATATATTTTATAAAGTATTGCAAAAGTATGGAGCGTTTCAGACTTACCGGACCATCTTTCAGTCGCGTAATCGTTAACGTATTTTCGAGTGGACTTTTTTTCTTTAGCGAAAACTTAAATCGTGCAGCACCGTCCGCCACTTAGTTTTGAATATCTTTAACGAGCTGAATTAAAAGTTTAAAAGTAAACGTTTACTTAGCAAGTTGGCTGAAAAAAAAACGACACTTCGTTATTTATTTACATGTTCGTGAAACTTGAACCTCTCATTGTTCATGTCTCAAGAGCTATTGGCATTCTGAGATTCTCTCAGTCTAACGTTGACAGTCGAAACGACGTGTGGTACGTCTGGAACACACTGTATAGTACACGACAGATATTAAGAAAAGAATATTATATATAACGTTTATATAACGTTTTATACAGATTGTTCTGTAATGAATGGTACAATCGAAAAAGAAGGGATTTTATACACGTAAAAATAAATCAGAAATGTAGACTAAATTTTTTTTTTGTATGAAGCTCTGTTTTCAAAAAAGTGGCTTTTAAAAATTGAATCTATTACGCTCTTCTATAACGTCTATAACGCTTTTCTACTCTAAATAATCGATTTCGATTTATTTTTGTACGTGAAATCAACCCCTCGGATTTTACCATTCGTTATCGAATACTCTATACAGTATGCAGGGTGTCACAGAATTATCATCGCTTCTACTGCCACTTCTCGATTAATTTGAGCCACTTTTAGTAAAAATGTAGAATCATTAATAGTACACACAAGTTGTATGCCAATTTTTATATATTTTCTTTTTTTATTGTGGTTGGGAATGAACATAACTGCATTATATAGTCAAAATTGTAGGGGAAGATCAGCTCTCTTGATTAATCTTTCAGTGTGTATGAAAGATGTGCCGGTAATCTTGGGACACCAAATACACGTGTATATACTGCGGAACATCATCCGTATATACAGAATTACGAACCATATGTACAATTACAAACGTGCAGCTTTCAAGAAGAATGCAATGCAGCTGCGTCTTTCTCTACGAATTATTTTTACATTGACCGAGGTGCATTAACAAAGTCGACAGCCGTCTCATCATTAAGCATTGTATCGCGGTGCTGGCATCGAGTGCCAAGATGTGACACAATCGCCGAATCCACGTTGTCGCGCATGACGTTCGTCCGCCTTTATAACTTTCTTTATACGCTCGCGTGCTGCGAGATAATGCGCGTCATTGCAACGAGATTGTTCGAAAGGAAAAAATTTCACTTTCAAATCAAATCACGTAATCGTCGTTTTTATCTCAAGTCGCAACACTTTCCTGCTTCGAGAAACGTACATATTTTTTTACTTAGATTCATCGAATTGCGCCTGTTTCATTCCAGCTGCAGCAAGGACGACCCCCCACAAGGAATAATTATTAAGAAAAATCATTATTAAGAATTATTATTCCTCAAGGATTAATTATCAAGTAAAAGCAGAAGTTACTCATCAATTTATACGATCATATATCGTGTGTGCTCGTATATGAGGATTATTTATATTTCATCGATTCTTTTTTTTTTTTTTTTAATTTTTACAGCGCAGAATTTGGTTTTTACTCACAAATACATCGCTCGTGTTAACAATGGCAAGAAATACTTAAAGAGAAGTAACTTTGTCCATAATTAAATAACAAAATTGACTGAGTAGCGCGAAAGCGCTGCCGCCGTCGTATCTCTTCTTCTAACAATTAAGACACCAATAAGTGGCGCTAACGCAGCATAGAATATCGCAGCTGTACCCTAATTTCCTGCTGCATTAGCAGCACTCATCAGCGTCATTTATCGCTGAGAGATGCCGACGGTAGCAAGTCCGAGTAGTTCCGTATATTTTACAAGTCACGTCAATTCGCTTTCTTCCTACACTGAAAATAACAACATACACGTTACAGAAATACCGTCGCGTTTGGGACTTGGCCAATCGCGAAATTTTTATTAGTGCAATTTTATTTACGTTTATCAAACCGTTTATCTAACTACACGAAGAAGAGGAGAGACCCATCCGGATCTTTCACCCGGACCGCGTGGCGATACATCCGCGATATAATTTGCCACGATGGTCCGAGTGGACCGCAGATGCACCAGGTGATTCGGACGGTCCGAGACAGTGTCGCAGCCCGTCGAATACCGGAGGCTGCTATAAATAATCTAATATCCGTCCCAGTCGCGCTCGCGATGGGCGGCCGAGGGTATAGAAGGGAGTCGCCTAGGAGCCGCTGCAGCGGGCTGCTCTAGCGGGCCGCTCAGCCTCCTTCTCTCTACTCTGTCTCTCCCTCTATCTCTCTTTTTTTTTTCTCTTTTTATCTCTCCCGCTTCCCTTCGGCTGGGAGGCGAAGGGTATTTCGTGAACGACGTTCCGGGAAGAACGACGAAACGCCGTCGTCGTCGTCGTCATCGTCGTCGACGTCGACGTCGTTATCGTCGTTGCTCCCTTGATCGTCGTTCAGGTAGGCGGACAGAGGAAAAGGAGACTGGAGGTGGATTGGAGTATCCGAGATCTCCGTGTAGTTGCGGTGTTTCTTCGGGGTGGGGATGGAGCCGGAGCAACGAGGACGCACTTCGCGGGCGTCGTCAACGTCGAGCCTCGGACGCGAGGTCCGTTGCGGTTGTCAGTTCTACCGGAGCGACTCGCTTCTGCCGGAACGACGTGCTCTCCTCGTCAGACCGTCATCCAGGACGATGCAGCAGCCACCTGCGGTCCGCTGCAGGTCAGTATCCCCCTATACACCAATGTTCCGTCCAAGTCAAAATCGACGAAAAATAATAATGGTTGGCCCACCCTCGGAACGGACAACTACGGTAAAGTGATCTCTTCTGGGGATCACCATGTCTATTTCATTGTTGGTATTAGCTGCGCATCGTGATAGGTTACACCGTGCGAAATCGTGTCGCGTATCGTCGCAGCTATTTAAGGTTCGCCCGGGTGGCTATAGATAGAAAGCTCGGTCAGCTCCCAAATCCGCCAAGTCCAGTTCCCCGTCCGCGACCCGCGTGTCCCGCATCCGTGCGTGTACCGGTACACGCGCGCATGCTGCGATGTCCCCGGGGCGAGTCTGGACATCTGACGGAACTGTGTTACACTGTGAGCGTATTTGCGAATATTGAGAATAATGTAATTCGCAATGAGTGCGAATCCGGGCGTTATGGAAAAGCAAAAAATAAGATGTTGCTTATTGATAAAAGTTATCGATGCAAGATATATTTCAAACAACGTGAAAATATAAGAGGAAGGTAGAGAGAGAGAGAGAGAGAGAGAGACAGTCTAAAAAATTTAAGACGTCTCAGATATTTTTGCAATATTTGTATCGTTTTGGACTTTACATCTGTAGCACTAAAAATGTAAACTTAGCGAATTTACAATTTATAATTTTTTTTTATAACTGACTCACAGTTTATAGTATGGGAAATTTTTAGATACAGTCGTAAATTCTTCACATAGAAAAGTGATGTAAGTATTTTCAGAGATCTGTAAAAAGAGATAAAACGTTATAGGAGGTCGATGAGAAACTGCGGAGTACTATATCCTTTAAAGCGACAATAAAAACATAATCGACTTTTTTGCTCGATTCTAAAAAAACGAACATAACGCGAAATGACATGGGGGCATGTATCAGTTGATGAGTTTCGTTCGATCGACATGATCTCGATAGGTATCCTGTGTAATTTTGCCCTGCACTCGTTTACGGTCTCATGAGATCGGAAGGGGGTCAAACATGTGAAGTAATAAGTCATATTCGAATTGGAGGAAATGGAAAATGTATAAACAGAAGCCTAGACACATTTCAAATAATTGAATGAATTTTGCATTTGCGATATATATATATATATTTTTTTTTTCCGTATTATTTTTTATTATAAATTTTATTATTAATTATCGAATATCGTGCACATTGAGAAAATTTGAACTATCGTAGAAATAAAAACTCGTCTTTTATCGTGCCATTTTCATTCTAATTTTCAAATATAATTTATAACATTTTCGATAATTGCTATTCAGAACGATTTGAAGATAATTATTATTAACTTATCTGATAATCTTTACTGAACACTCATTGCATTTGATATTTCAATTGTTTATTAACTTTACGAGAATAATAAGCAAACTCTGCCTGGATGGTGAAATCTAACTAAAATATCGCATTACATTTCGTTAAAAATACATTCAAAATTCGCAGCTTTACAAATAGCAAAATCATAAGAAATAAATGTACTCTTAGTTGTTTATTTAACACGTTGATATATAGTAATCATTCATATGTCTGATTTTTTAATCGCATTCACTTGATCACTATGTAATGACCGGCGTTATCAAAATTATTTAAGAAATAAGTGCTATCTAATAAAATTTTAAACGACACAAATGATTAGATAATGAAACATAAAGTAGGACGTTTTATCTTTATTCAACAATTAATCATTTTAATTTTTAATTATATTACGTATCATCACATTATACGCTTATAATGGCGTACAGTGTATAGTAAGACATAGAACAATAGAAAGTCACTGGGCAAAGTGTTAATGATTCGACGCGAGTAGTTTTATTTATATACAATCGGTCTCACGCTATAAACGTGAATTCTCGCTGCAGCGAGCACGACTACGAACCGATCGCGCCACCGCCGCCGTCGTTGCCGCATCCGGCGATGGCACCGGTCGTGCGAATCACCGACACGGACGTGATGCCCGTCGCCGACAGCGACGACAGCATCGACGACCGGAGCCGGCTGCCACCGGAATTGATCCTGGACGGCGACGTGATCCTCCCCCTGGATGGCAAAATCGAGGACAGCGCGATGGAGGGCCGCGAACTCGGTGAAACCGGCGGTGATACCTCCGAAGAATTGGAACCCACGGCACAGCAGTTTCAGGATAGGCTTGAGGAGCGATTCCTCGCATCCACTCCCTACACAGAATCCAGAACCGATGGCGAGGTCAACACTAGTCAGGTAGAGTTCACAGTTTGGTTTCATACATGTTTACAAGGAAAAAGAATTTACAAGGAAACCCATGGAAGGGTTCTTCGATTTTGATGAACTTTGAATGTATTGTTTTCTAGATAAAAATAAGGAACACGCGTATTTTTTTTTATAAAAGCCCAATCACAATTTTAGATGGTGCAACGTCCCTTTAAAAAAAGTCGCTTCCTTTAAACGAATATTGTCGAAACTGTAAGAGAAAAAAAATATCCTGAATAAAAGTTGTGTGGTTTAAAAAGTATTTTATAACTTAAAATTTGTTTAAATAAAAAAAATTAAAAAAATGTTTTGTTAAATTATAATTATTAAGTATTCTTAAAATCGTTCAACTTCTATTCCAGATTTCTTTTCTATCTCTTAGTTTCGACGATATTTGCTTCGAAAAACAATAATCAATTTTTTTCAGAGAAGTGTTGCACCTCCTAAAAATGCGATTGGAACCTTATAAAAAAAACACGTATTCTGTTATTTTTGTTCAGAAAATAACATATTCAAAGTTCATCAAAATCGCTTCTATGGATTTCCTTATCAGTTATCACAGAAAAATTTATCTAACTTATAACAATACTTATAAAACGTGATTGATAGGCATTGATTGGTTAAAATTCAATCAATATGATATCTAATGTGAGATATTCTATATAGAATGTAGATACATTTAATTAATGATACAATAATAATCTTAGTTTTTCTTTTTATAAAATTTATTTTTTTACTTTACTTATGAAACTTACTTCTTTAATTTCTTTATTTGACAATTTTGACTTATATATGTTGAAGTAATAACACAAATCGGTAAATCAATATTCATTGGCCGAGAATCGTGGCTGCTGCAAAGGCTCCTCGTTCGCGAATTGAACAAAAGGGAGTAAAATAAAAAACGGTTAAATATAGCTGCTGCACGAATCGATAGAGACCCCCGGAATTTAAAAGCTACGAGGCTCGCAGGGCTCGTCTTGTTGTCTTTGGTTTGTTTTACTCGCGTCGAATATACCGCCTATATTTAGCGAAACTCACGTGTAAAAAGGAAGCTCAAACGCAAGCGTGTCACTGTCCGATTGTGCAATACCGCTGGTTGCAATACTCTCCAGAAAACTCGAGCTTCTCCATCGGTGGCGCAATCGGATCCAAGAATATATGTGGCGCCGCCGGAATATTAATCATCCCTCGACCTTGCCGATATTTTTCAATGAGGACGTAAAGTCGTTCGCGCGCGCTCTGCGACGCTCACGAAAGTTTTCGCGATTTATTTCGGTAAATCCGACAATAGATTCGAAATGGATTCCGAACCTCACGATGGCTTACTTCACGATTAGCTACAGTGGCTAACTACTTCACAGTACTTTAAAATATTCACTTTTAATGTACTTTGCGTGTTTCTAAACGGTATTGCATGTCGAATGCTTCGCACGACACTAATCCATTTTCATTGTGACCTTAAAATGAGGTATTTGTAATATTTTAGTTCTGATAGAGGTTTTTTTATAATATAAAATAAAAGTTTTTGATGACAATGTTAAATACTACTTTATAATGCAAACGTCTTACGTCTTTTAATATATTACACGTTATATATAGTATATTAAATAGCATCAATTTTAAGAGTATCTTATACTTGAAGGAATATTATATAAATATCTAGCATTCAGATGAATTATAAAATTAATGTGGCTCATTGAAATGAAAAACATATGAGCACATTTTACATAGCATTAATAAAAACAAATATATACTTATGAATTAATTTGTCCTTATTTAATTATCTTTACTAAATTTGAAGTAAAAATAAAAAAAATGTTAACTATATTTTTAATATTGTAGTATTGCCGGAAGTTTCGATTCTTTTAGATAAGGTTCGCATTCCCACATTATTCTTCAGAGAAGCATTTATTATTTTAGATAGACTCGTCGGTGGTGGAAGAGTTGCCGCTTCGACGCGGCGCTCGTGGCCTACCTCAACGCCTGAAGACGCAGGCTAGTAAGCTACGCTCTCGGCTCCGTGGTTTCCAGCGGCCCACGTTCTCGTTCCCGCAGAAACGGCAGAAACCCGAAAAAGCAACGACGACGACGACGACGACGACAACGACGACGGCGAGATCAGCGGCGGCTAGCAGCGGCAAGTCGGACAAGTCCCGTAAGTCCGTGGAGAAGCGGCCCAGCAGAATCGATCGGATAAGAACGTCCATCTCCGAGAAGACAGAGAAATTCAACCTCGAACGGCCGAGGTTCAGTCTGCCAGATAGATCCAAATTTCATCTGCCGGAGAGACCGAAGTTCAGTTTACCGGACAAGTCGCGTTTCCACTTGCCGGATAAGTCGAAGTTCAACATCAAGAAGCCCAACATCCGTCTGCCCAGCGCGCTCGCTCGCGTTAAACGGCCGCCTCCCTTACGCGAGCAACAACAGCAGCATTCGACAGAATCCACTGCTGGCTCTAAACGTAATATCTTTGATTTCGCCACGTATCCGCGCATCTTCGATAAAAAGTCCAAGAAGCGCGGCGAGTATGCGACGTCCTCGCCTAAAGACTCCAGGACTCAATCAGCAGAGAGCGCGACCTTTCCTCGTACCCGGAAGACAAAATCTTTTGGCACCAGGTGGGCGCAACGTTTTGGAGATTCGGCTTACGTTCAGGATCAAGATCGTCCAGAGGAAGCAGCAGGAAGCGAGGGGTCTCCTCCGTGGCATCAAAGTTCAATGGAAGAACCGCCGAGATTGTCCGCTGGAACGGAGGAGGAGATAATGGCGGCGGCTCATGCGATTCCATGGGAAGATACAAAAAAGCGTGAACAGTACGAAGAAGAGGAGATACAGTATATGGACTACGAACAGGAATCATCAGAGATGTCAGATCGGCATCCCGCTCCTCCGAAAAGATCCTACAAGTCGCGAAGATGGGAGGAGTCGTACGAACACGAGGAAGTAATGGAGGTGGATCCGAAATTATACGATCAAGAGATGAAACACGTTCACCGAGATGACACCGAAGAGAACGAAGATGCGGCAGTACAGGATGATTGGCATGCAGAACAGCAAATGATGCATAAGGAGAAATTCAGACCGATTCTGAAGTCGCGATCGTTGGACGAAGACATGCCACGAGTTCTGGAGCAAGAAAGGTACGGAGGAGCGTTCATGGCGATGGATCCGAGGCGATTTGGACTACGTAAGATGGCATCCGAAGAGGAAGAAGGCGAAGAAGAACACGAGCCTTCCTCGATACAGTCTGATCGTGAGCAGCAAGCATCGAGCGGCAGTTCCTGTGATCGAAGACGTCGCGGAGTGATAGAGGAGATCGACTCGGACGAGTTTTTTTTACGACAGAGCGGTATCAGTCAGGATGACATGAATCTGGGCAATTACTTGACCGATGAAATCCGAGATGCTCTCAGAGCAGAAGTCATCAATGCGTTGCAAGACGACGAGCTTCCATCTACTCCGCCTCAACGTCCTGTGAGAACGCGGACTTTGAGAAAGCACAAAGCAGATTTAGCAGAGTCTAACGAGGCAGTACCACCGGTCAGACCAAAACGGGAACGATCGGCAGCGGCGCGACATAGTCGAGAGGCATCGATCGAGATGTTTCGTGAGCGCACCAGGAGTGATTCTAGAAGTGATTCTAGACATCGCGTGGTATACCAAACGGAGGGAGAACAACCGGAACCGTTACAGGAACCATTGGATGACATAGTCGTGGTGAAACCGGTGCGCAGAAAGTCGAGATCATCCTTGCGTAGTCATTCGCAGCCACCGATGGAGACATCGATACTCTCTCCTTCGACACCCATTACTGCCGTACTCGATTCACCTGCCACTCTTTCAACTGTGCCACCGATCGTACCAATACGCAGAAAGCGTTCGCATCGCGAAACGATGATGGACCGAAGAAACGGCGACGTAAGCGCACCGATTTGCAACGGTCATCGCGACGACTGGGAAATCGAGATCATCGAATCCAGGAAACCGATAATTCCAGCAAGATCGTCGCGATCACGGCAATCGCTAACCGAGCGATTTGCAAATGGCGACGTTGTCATGTCCGCAAGTCACGAGGACATCGAGAACTTAGACGCGCGACTTCAACGGCAGGACACTGTGCCAGAACCGCTACCGATACCGCCGAAAAGACGATCCCGTTCGAGGACTATGTCAGTCGTTGACGAGGACAGAACATCGCACGGTGCGGAGTCTCTGCCAGAAGCTGGTTACGTCGAGGAGGACATACCGCGGGAGGAGGAAGAGAATAGCTCGGCGCGAGATATCTCGGGCTACGCAATCGTAGAGAAGCGGGAAAAACCGCCTAGACCACCACCACCCAGAAGAAAACGCGACAAGTTCGCTACGACACCGAGACCGACTCCGCCTAAGCGACCTCAACGAGCGTATAGTACTCTAAGACCCACTACAATAAGAGACGTCAGCACGACGTCGGACACGATCATCAGTATGACTCTAATACCATCCGAATCTGCGCCATACATCGAGGTCGACGTGGATGAGGTTGAACATAAGGATTTTCGCAGCGGCGAATTGCTCGACAAGATCCAAGGCCGCCCGCTTCCGGCGCCACCGCGACCACCCAGGATAAGAAAGGAACATGCGATGGCTGGACGACCTCGCACTCCGTTTGAATATGAAGAGACAATGGAGACGACGGCGGCAACACAGACCGATCCATTGCCAGACGACATGGTGATTGAGGAATTAGAGATCACTCAGGCGAAACTTATAATGACACCTTCTAGATCAGGCTCGCAGATAATGGTATCGATGGAACATATACCCAGTCCAAGCAGAACGACCACACCTCCCGTACCTCCGTTACCAATCCTACAGTTTTTACGAAAAGAGGAAGAAGAAGAAGAAGAAGAAGAGAAAGGAGAAGAAGGAGAGGAAGAACGGCTTCCAAAAGAAGAGGACATCCGAATGGCATACGAGACTGCATCACTAACGTCACCATCGCCCACGAGAGAAATTGACTTTCGAGAGGAATCGAAGCATAGATCTGCGCCGCATCTGGAGGAACACGTCACAGAAGAATCACAATCGCGACCTCAAATCAGATCGAGTTTTCTATCCGATGAGCCGTTGAGAATCAGCAGTCTCGAAGTCGGAGATTTAAAAGTTGATCGACTGAGCGTATCGCAGATAGAAGCGCACAAAATCGTGGCGTCCGAGGTAGACGCGATGATGATTACGGCATCTAAATTAAGAGGTGGCGATTCCATGGAGGAAAGTTTGTCACCGGCCATCATCAGAGAGCTAATAGCGATCAGGAGTCACTTGGAGACCGTGATGACTACCCAGGCACAAGAAAGATATCGCGAGAGCGAAAAGGAATCCGCGAGCCACAAGATAACCGACATTCCTATCAAGGCTAATAGTCCAGTTCAAGAGCGACAACCTGCGTCGCAGGATGTTCCGACGGAAGCGGCGAAGCCCAGCGAGACTGTCGTAAATGAACCAACGTCTACGGAAGATGAGAAGACCGATGCTGGCGAGGATAAAAAGGTTGTTACAAATGTAGTAGATGTCAGGGACAAAGAGATATCACATCCCCTCTCAGTTGTTCAAGCCAAAGAATTCCCTTCCCCACAGACACTTACGATAGATGAATTAGAGTTCAAGGGTAAAGAATCTACCACACACTTGTTCACGGTCGCTCAAGATAAGTCCTTACGAATTTTAGATTCCGAACATCCCCTAACTTTGAGTCCGCGAACCACGTCGGGCTCCCACGTGGATGAATCTCGTGCCTCATATCCTCCATCGGATACGCCTTCAACCCGGCCCTCCGAATCGAGAGAATATCCTCCGTCGGATGCGCCTTCAACTCAGCCTTCCGAATTGAGAGAATCGCCGGACCGTGTCGGCGAATCTCCGAGTATCTCTGTCCAGACTACTACTACTACTATTACTACTACTACGACTACTACTACTGCTACTGCTACTATCACTACTGCTACTACCGAGCTGGGCGCAATGTCTACGGATCTTCGTAGCAGCAAGAACGATGTGTCCGACAATAAAGAAGAACAGACTCCTCGCAAGTCAAGATCTAGATCCTCCTCGCCTACTAAAGGTATCACACGGCAAACCGCATCTCCGGTTCGTTCATTGCCACCAGCCATTTCCGTGACCCCTGATACGTCGACCCCTGATTCAACCGTACCAAGACACGGTGGTATCTCTGCGGACGCTAAACCGCAGCGTGCCGTCATTTCCTATTCTTCGGATACGAGACACGATGTCCCTAAAGACAGTCAACCACAACGTGCTGTTATTTCCCAGTCTTCCGACGTGGGACAATCCCTTACGGAAAAGCAAAGGGAGTCCTCTCAATCGCCAGTATCTTCCTTTCCTTTGAGCTCGACTCACTTCATCGCCTTTCCAGCTTCCGAAATTCCAGCTCAGTTCTTTTCTCTGAGTGAAACGCCAACAAATCAACGCTCTGATATAGAACCCGGCGTTATAGATACTACGCAGCAGCTTCTTCGAGCACTCCGATTGGCTGGTATTAAAGCCATGAGGTATTTTATAGGGTATTTAGCGTCTACGTTAAGTATGGACGACTCGAGAGAGAAGATAAGAGATGTGGAATTAACGATATGCGCCTTGTTACTTCTGATCGCAGGCTTGTTGATATATTATTTCAGTAGCACACGGATTGTAACACATCATCATCATTGGGATTATTTTAATCCCCCTCAATAGCACTTCTATAATCCAATTTGCCAAAGAAGTCCGTAAATAGTTCATTGGTTTATAGAAGTTAAAATTTCATATTGTATAAATCTGTTTTGTACAACAATTTTGTCTTGAAGAAAATACTAGAATATGACGAAGTAAAGAATTCGAATTGAATTAAAGCTCTTGTACACATATCAGAATGAAGTGCCAGGTTTGTAAAAAATAAATTGTAATTACATTATTAATATATGCCAAATATATAATTAAAAACTTTAATATTTAAAGAATACTATTTACAATCATTCTTAATATAATTTCATGTGCTATATTCATATACATACATCAGTCAATAATATATATAACATTTAAGGAAAAAAATTATTTAATCGAGCCTTTATATATTAATTTATAATTCTCAGAAAACACAATTTCTATTCTTTTCTCCAAAAAGTCGATATATACCTTGTTTTCTCTTATATTTAGAATAACGTAAATTTAAAGATTTAGTAGATACTTTCGATATAACTATTACAATAATATAATTTTATTCTTTTTTACAATCATGATTTTATGACTTAAAAAAACTGAAATTAAAAGTAAAATAAATAATATCCATTGTGTCTTCCATTTAATTAAAAGAATCGTTAACAAAAAGGTATTCTGTATATAATCCAATTAATCACAAAATTAATCAATATGAAAAAACAAAAAAAGAAATTAAAAACTAAGATTCAACTGATTTTACAGCAAATAAGGTTCGACTATATAATATTTTTTCTTATTGATAAATATTAATGAATATTTCTACACTATTACGAATTTTGTTATAATTATAATAATAAAAAAGTTATTATATATAGAGTATACAAATGTTTGCTATTCAAATTTGTTGATAGACATATGTTATAATAAAAAACAAAAAGTACAATTAAAGTATAATTAAAAATAAATTAACCGTATTATTTCCAAATAAGGATGTGACAAAATATCATGATCTATCATAATAGTATGTTGATAATATCAGAGGTACCATATATAATATTACATTTAAAAAATTATTGCCAACAAAAATACCTGCAGTTACTGGAAGAGGTCCTCTTCGTATACTTTAAGTTCCCGTCTGTCTTTATGTGCACTTTTCTGTGAATAATTAGCTGCTATTGGTGACCACATAGAACTAGACATAGTGTCACTAACTGGCTCTATTATCGGCTGCCTTCTTGCTAACGATACTTTTAATTGGATGGACGAGACCATGCTACCATCCATTTCACTTATTGCTCTCTCAGCAGCTTCGGCCTTTTCAAAGGTTATAAAGCCATGGCTATGGGCAAAAAAGAATAGAAATGATTATTAATAATTGTATCGAAAATATCTGCTAAAACTATGAGTGGACATTAGTGTGTAAAACATGATTTATATTTACTTTTTCTCTGCTTCCATGGAAATATGGATAATATTTCCAAAGCTTTGAAAGTGCTTCTTTAGATAATCCTCTGTTATTTTATAACCACATACGTATATTGTATTTCCTGCACGTGGTTTAATTTCTTGTTTAGCAGGAACTGGAGTATCACTGGTATTTCTCTCTCCAGTGTCTTGAGAGGCACCAACAAAATTATTATATAAATCCTTAACTTTTGGCCTTACTGTCTCCGTTTCTTCTTCTTCCTGCATTGCCGAAAATGGTTGATAGGAACTAATCGTCTTTTCTGTACTATTTAACTTCCTTTCTAGTCCGCGAGATCTTTTGAAAGTTTGCTCTGGTCGCTTAGGAGTCTTTGGGGCTGTGATTACGCCAGATTTAATCAACTTCTTAGCAACTTCGCGAGCATCTCTTGCTTCCGTAGGCCGTTTTGGAGCCTGAGGAATGCGTTCGGCTTCTTGTTTAGGAGCTTTTAGGTCTTGTAGCGCTTTTTTCTATAATTTGAGGAATGATTGACAAGAATTAAAAATAAATATAAGGTAAATACTTTATACAGATACAGATATAATTGTTAGAAAAAAAAAAACGATGATCTTTGCATGTAGATTAAACAGAAATTTGAATTTTGCGTTATGAATTAATTGAGAAATGGATATCTAACAGATAAATTAAATTTTATCACATATTTCATACAAAAACATAACCTGTACCTTTCTCTTCAGTTTGCTGAACTTAGTCTGCAGCATCAACTCTTCCTCTGTTAGGTTTGACGGAAAATGCAGGTATACCATATTTTGCATGTAATATCAACAACGACTTTGTGCAATACTCTTTATTTCTTAAAAAAAATTGGAGAATGGAGAAAACGCGTTTTACGTCTGACCGGTCTAACGTTTTGATCACGTTCGAGTTCACACTTGATGTGTACTGTAGTACACTTGAGGTGCATATAATTTTATTTACTGTCACTTTTTAAAAATTAATTTGCAAAATCTGATTATGTACGCGCTTTTGCAGCTTCATAAAAAAAAAAAAAAAAAAAAAAAAAAAAAAAAAAAAAAAAAAACTAAAAAAGTTTCATAATGTAATATTACTTCTAGTAGATAAAATAACAGCATGAAAACATATTCGCACTGTAAATAAATTCGAGCGTATTAGCATATCATTTTGTTTATTATAATGTTTTTAAGAACAAAATTGCAAAACTTAGCTCTTTCCGACTTCGTAGCTTCGTAAAATATAAACTAAACCGACTTTCATGATAAAATATTGCTTTTACAAAACAATATATGATAGAACATGACAAAGTACAAATATGTAGCTGCATCACACTCTCCGAGTTGGCTTGCGCTCCAATAGAGTTCTATATATAAGAGAGACATTGATGTCCGAGTTTCTGATTGGTAGTCCGACGTGTATTGTGATTGGGTATCCCTTCTTAAGTTAAGCAGCCATATTGTGACCGCAGCTATTTAAGTAAATGACAGCTGACACGTGGTCGCCAAGCTGTATTGGTACGAGAGTTAATTCATCGGATTATCTGAGTCCATCGTTGATTTCTTGTCATTAAGCTTTCGCATTATAGATTTTTTAAAATTAAATTATTGTTCTTGTAATTTTGCTTGTTTCGGCAAACAAACTTTACTCTAACGGAGTATGGAACATTTATATTAAACGGAGTTTATCTTTATGATATTGAAGCGGCCCAAATATATTGACGCTGGAGGTGATACCGTGATGCGGACTCTGGTGGGAGTCCGATTTCGAGTCTCTTTTATATACAGAACTCTAGTCACTCCCGTCGACCCTTAAGCTTTTTGTGTGTCATGGCCTTTCCACTTCCACTGTGCTTGACAGAATTGACAGTCCAGTCAAGTGGCTGAGTGGTGGCAAGTGGCGCCAGTGGCATGAGTCAGTCGGACGTCTGACCAAGTCGGACTCTGACATCACTGGGTCCTTGAATACGTTTCTCGCATTTACCGGATCGCACCAGATGCTTCCCGAGAGGTTGTCCTTTCGAAAAAGGGAGAACGGATACGTTATAGATACTCGGCAAGAATCAACGTGTGAGTTTTTATTCGTTTGACGCTCCCATATACCTAGACAAGATGTGTATATCGGTGACGGCTCTTGGTCGACGAGGATTTACTCCGAGGGATGTTATGCGGCTCGGCGTTAAGCAACTTCATTGCTCCAATTGCGAATCGTCAATGAACAACGTGCTGTCACGGCGATGTCCCGCATCATTGTGCGTCGCTGATGTCTCGCGAGTTCTGGGCTGGTTTCGCGAGAGCTCGAAAATGTTCTCTTCCGTGAGGACTCCGATTTCCCCCGACGTCGTCGTCGACGCTCTGACAAAACGGCAAGCGAAGGAGTTGGTGTCAAAGCTCACCTCGGAGGAACGTGGCTTGTTCTTGACAGCATTGAACGAATGCAAATCAGCGGAACAGAAGGCTGGTTATGAAGGTAGACATCGCTTGCTCCAATAAATTTGTAGTCTTAGACAAGCATTTGCTATTTAATGAAAGACTAATCCTCATTTTAAAGATTTGCAGACAATTATTTCTTACAAATATATTAATGGAGAAGATATTGATCTTTTACATATTTAGCTCTACATATATATATATATATATATTTTTTTTTTATGCTATATCTATATACATATATAGATATAGTATAAAGAAACATATATAATAAAATTCTTGCAAGACAAATGTTCACTATTTAACTAGAGGCTATAATCCTGATCTTAAAGATGTAGAAAATAACTTCTTATAAGATTATAAATTGATAGGGAAGATGTATTGATCTTCTTTTATATATTTAGTTTTATACATATATCACAAAGAAGTACAATAAAATTCTTGCATCTTTACTAGGTCAACTGGCAGCTATCCGATGGAGGAGTAAGTTAGGTAGACCTAGCAAAATACCATCATTAGGCGAGGTGGATCCTACAGGAACCTACTGCCCTATGCCGGACGATTGGTTAAACCGCAAGTACGGTAAGGACATTATTATTTTTATATATTTTTTTAATCATACATGTCACGCATTTATTGAATCATCGGTACTATTAAAGAAAGAAGTAGTATAGGATCATTAAATAGTACAGGATCATTTAAAATGTCTTTAATGCAATGTAATAGTTCGTTACATTCATAAAAAAAAAACATTATGAACATTAACTTAGATTTATTACCTATAGATCTCCCAAAATAAAATTAACCTCCCTGTTATTTAATGGTATTTTGGATATAATGGAATATTTTTCCTGCAATGCGATCTCCATGGATGTTATTCTGTAAGTTTCTCGTTTTTTCTCGATTTCTCTCTTAACTCTCTAGCACTCTCTGTGTCTCTTTTCCTCTAATTACACTAACTCTCTTGCCTGCTTCTATTCTAACACAACTTTTCGGATGTTTCATGGCCAACCACAGTGCCACAGTTAGGTAATATTTTGGACACTTTTCTATGGTTCTTTCATTTTTTAAAAACCTTTTTCCCCAATATGGAAATTAGTCCTTGTTAAATTTTTTTAACCAAATACATTTTTATAAATTATAGAATTATCATATTTTTCATATTTTCTTTCGTATTTCTTGCAAATTTTGTTTTTGAAATAATCATTTGGCCAGATTATTTTTCATCCATATTTTAGGCAAAGTTGTTTGGATAAAATGATTTTTGTAGAATTTGTTAAACTACAAAATTCTCTTTAATTGTAGTTTTTTGTTTTTTTCCTTCATTTGAATTTTAAGATTCCTTTTTTTATTTAAATTTATTAAAAATACATCACAATATACAGTTTTGGTGTTCATAAACAATAAAAACAATTTACCTTATATTGCATTTAGTGTTTGCTAGTTTCATTAAGTAATTATGTAGCAATTTCATATTAAATACGATTAACTTGCGGATTTAGATTGAATCTTTTGTTTTTTGCAGTTGAACACGTTGCAGAGCCATCCACAAAAGACTTGGTATTCGGTATGTATTACTTTCAATTCATTATTCAATTTATTCGGTATTACTTTCAATATCAAAGAGTTTATTCACTAACAAGTAATCAGTCGCGTTTTTATCTTATTTATCTCCTATCTGCTGCTCACAAGATAAAAATTAAATAATACTTTTATTTTAAAAGATTTATCATTACTGCAAAGATTGATTAAATAATATATCTTGTTTTAAAAAAATTTTAATTAGATAAAATATATATAGAAGAGTTTTATATACATATAATAATTTAAATCTCAATTCCGATTAAAAGTATAAATAAATAATGTGGAACAATAATTGTATTTTTGCAGTCGCGATCGCGAATGCAATTCCGTTCGTTGGATTTGGTTTTCTTGACAACTTCATCATGATCGTTGCTGTATGTATCTTACGGACTTTCGTCATTTCCTATGTGCCGACTTTTAAGATTGATGTTTCAGGGCGATCAAATCGAATTGATGCTGAACAGAAGATTCCCTATCTCCACCATGGCAGCGGCAGCGCTGGGCAACACGGTATCTGACGTCATTGGAATTGGTTCGGTGCATTATGTTGAGATATTTGCTCAAAAAATCGGCTTCGTAGCGCCCAAATTAACTCTAGCACAACTAAATCTACCTAGGACACGGATAGCTGCGAATGTGGTACAATTTATTGCTTCGTTATACTTTATTTTATATTGAACATATTTTTTTGTTTTATTATTGAGTACTACGTAAAAATTTACATAAAAAAGATTCTTGAATAATTAAAAAGATGAAGTCTTTTTCAGTGAAATTATTCAAGGAAATGTTTTTGTTGATTATACAGGGTCGAGTTATCGGTGTTACGATTGGATGCATTATTGGCATGACGCCTATACCGTTAGCCGCGCTTTTCCGCAATGATAGCTGAATTAACCAAAAAAAAAAAAAAATGACTGAGAGAAACGAATTAATTTAATAAATTTAATATAATTAACTTAGTATATATATATATGTGTGTAGGATAGGCCGCAAATACCCCATAATAAGCGTTTTATTTTACACAAATGCCTATAAACTTTTATAATTTGAATGTTCAACTATCGTAAATAACACGATTTCCATCTCATCCAGTATTATAAAATATATTTAATATATATAAATGTATAGAATGTGTATAGTATAGAACTGTATAAGACAAAGTTTGTGTGCAATATTATGATTGTTTTTTAAAGGTGAAATAGGTTTTAAACTTATTGTGTTTTACGAGGCTTTAATCCGACGCAAAATCTATATAAAAAAGAAGCTTGTATATGTGTGATATCAGAGAATTACTAAACTAGAATAAAAACTTGTTTTAATATCAGTCTTCCAAAAAAACTATTCATTATTCGTTCCCCAATATATGTAATTATTTTTAGATATAAAACAGCATTTGTAGCATGCGACATCGGATATTTATTGAGAAAAACAGATCTGTTAGTATCGAACATTCCACTGCAAAAAGTTAGTACAAAAAATATAGATTTATATATCTGTTTATATATATATATATCTTTTGAAAAAGATCGTTTAACAGGCAAATTTTTAGCAACAGCAAGCTAATAGTAAATTTTTAATTCTGGCGACTGAAAGACACTTTCTTGATGTGATCGTCTCCAGTTTTGTTCTAACCAATTTAAGGTTGTGTCTAGTATTTCCTTCCAATTTACATTGTAGCGATAGTCTTCCGGTGCAAAATTTTCCGTTTTTCCTATTTTCTCCAGCTTTCTTATATTTATAGCTTGCGTCGAATTGAATGAAAAGTCGATGTTGATAATGCATAATCTGTCAGTGAAATTTGCAACTTCGATATTGCTCTGTAAGCAATACTCAGGCAACCAAGTCATCGTTGAGTTTAGCCACCACTTCCAACTGGCTTCATCATCATCATCATCATCGGTTTCCACAATTGCAGAATAATCTGCAATATTCTCGGAATCGGAAATCGAAAGACTATCATCGTTAATCTCCTGGGATCGTGTATTTATCAATGTATCAGTTAAATCAGTTGACGAGACATTCGTTGCGAGATTTATTGACAGATTCGTTGGTTGTCTTGAATTAAGTGATATCCCGGGTAAGCAACTTTGCACAATAAAATTAGCAACCAGAGTGGATCCCAGAAGAGTAGCCAATCCGGCGGCATAAGTCGCCAAGCAGATCGAAGACACACTAATTAAGGTTTGTGCGATTTTAATCAACTGAATGGAATTCATCAGACAACTCAATTCTGTATATGTGCACCATCTGCGCTTGTGTATTTCTCGATATGCCACGTTTTTTTCTAGTTGTTGCAGCCTTTCCCAAAAATCTTGATGCTGCACCAACACTGTCCAGTCCTGTGGCATACAAAATGATAAAATACATTTTGATAAATGATACATAATCAATTGGGAACTAAATTACAAATTATATAAATTTTAGATAATATATAAAAACGATTACTTACGATTGCAGCAAGAAAATCTTTTTCCAATTTATTCATTCGAGATATAGTCACTTGTCCCGAATTTGCCCACTCTTTGTTGAAAACCTCATCTTCTTCGCCATCGTCGTGCAAAAATTTACTGGCTACCATCTAATAAGCGTTAACAAAAATTTATTCGTTAACTTAAATGATGTTAAAAGTGTTGTCACGTTGACATGTCAAAATAAAGAAGAATAAATTACCAAAGAAACCAAGAATAGTTCAGACGGCGCTACTTGATGAAGATATTCCGGATTACAATTCTTTAACCTTTCAATATACAGCAAAGCCAACACAAGTGAGCAAGGGGAAACACATGCATTTCTAGATATTCTGCTTGCTTCCTCGACATCGAGTTTTTCCAATGTATGATCGCTCTTCACTTCAGTAAAAAGTTCCGCTGCCAATTCTAAAAATACAGAAGAGAATTTATGAATCATGCTTTATAAATATGTATATTGAGTTAAGGGAATGGGAAATATTTATTTTGTGGAAAAAGTAAGGATAACAGAACATTATGTGAAAGAATGTATGTGAAGAGATGAAGGATTTCATAAAGTTAGGTGAAGAAACAAGAAAGATCTTAAGCAGGAGTTAGATACAAAAAGAAAGATGATAAGGAAACTTTGGAGAAGAAGTTGAAGAAGAACCGGAAGGACAGAGACAGATAAAAGAAAGTGGATTAGAGATAAAACTGGTAAGAGCTTAAAACAGAATATAAAATAATAATGGGTATAGGTGCAAAGAAGTAATGTTACAAAGAAAGAGATGTATAGCTAAGGTAGAAAGTAGAATTGTGTAAGAGACAGATAATGTAAAGTAGGCTGTGAAAAGGTGATAATGGAAATAAAATAGACAAAATAAAAATAAGAACAAAAATAAGGAGAGAAACGAAAAAGCAGTTTAGAGTTACAAAGAAAGAAAATAAGATAATGTTATTTAAGTAGGTACAAATAAGTGATAGAAATATGGAAGGATGTTGAAGACAGATTATGTAAATCAAATTCCCTTCTTAGTTGTTGTGTGCTGAAATAAATAAAATTCTCTATTTATTCTTTATCATTCTTCATAAAGTAAAATTAATTTTGAAAAGAATAATATTTAAAATAAGAGCAAGTAATGTTATCAAATATTATTATTATTATTATTATTATTATTAGGCGTTAGGAACTCGAAAGCTCATTGCCGCAAATACCAAATCCCGCCACTGTTCCCGTCCCTGAGCCAGATCCCTCCATTTGTGACCCTCGTACCCCATTTCGTTAAGGTCCATTCTAATATTATCTAATGTTATCAAATTATTCTAACGTTATCAAATATTATAAATTTAATTTAATGAAACTCTAAAAACAAATATTGAAAGTAGATATTTCAGAACTGTTCCTTAAATCTTTTTTTTTAAATACATATGACACACAAAAATTATTCCCTCAGATAAAAACATAATTGGTCCATTTAATAATATAAAATTTATTAAAGTAACAGTTAAATTTAGTAGAGCAATTCATTTTGTATAATATTTTTATAATTTAATACTAGCGATCTGTCCAATTCACACTCTGAAAAACTAATTCTATTCTAGACTATTCTATTCTAGGCTATTCTGACTAAAGTTTTACAAGATGATTTTAATTTCTGTCAAGAAATACATAGTGGTGAACCGGATTTTAATTGATGGCTAATTGCGAGAAAAAGAAAACAACAGGTTTAATTGTATGAATATTATATCCAAATGTAATCTAGAATTAAGTAGTTTAGTATGTAGGTTTTAGAAACGTTTCTTTTTAGTATGTTTTATTAAGTATTAACATTGAAAATGACTTGAATATATTGGTCAAGTTGTATGTTGTTCATAAATTAAAATATTAGCATATATCAATTTGCTGTTATATTGACTAAATATTTTGCTTTATCTTGACTAAATTATTTGTTTTTATACAATTGAGTGGCTATATTGATTATTTTTAATATAAAATTTCTTATTGATCACATTAAAATATTATTACACAAATTTTGATTTATTAGACAACTATGTATTACTTATAACAAATTTTTTATTGATATAAAAAAATAACAATTTAAAACAATAAATTATTTTCACGTATTAATATATTAATATATTCTAATTGTTAATTTATAACTGAATATCATACTGACCTGTAACTGGTAAACTCAAGCAATTAATCACTGGTAACTTGGAATAATATAATGACTTTTTTATACGTTTCATAAACTCATCATGTTCCAAGTCCTGCAGTGAAATAAATAACAAAATATATCAAGAATTTCAGTTTATTATATAAACAACAATGAAAAAAAAGGAATAATTCTCAACCATCGAACAATCTTCAAGCGTTTTTAAATTTTTGCTGAATTAATGGCTTTTGATAACAACAAATAATTATTGCAATAAATTGCAATATATGGCAGGTACATATCAAATTGTATTTTGAATTGAAAATGATGTGTCAATCATAAAATTGCATATGTAAGATTTTACCTTTGAACTTGGCATGTTCGTGCCTCGCCAGCTGTTCGTCATTGTCTGGTATTCGTGAGTCTCATAAACTTTTTCTGTAATATTTTTGTGACACGTTTCGGCTGAAACAGTTATCGTAAAATGTAATCCAGACAATCACTTCATCGAGGTGACGTAAAGTTTTGCAAGAACGTAAATTATACCGTATCTCAAAGTAGCACACACGATTAATTTAGGTTAGGCTCATTCTCCACCATGAACATACAAAATAATGGGATAAGTGTGTCTGTTTAATCACATGCGAATGACACTTGTAAGTAGTAACTTGATAGGTCTATTTGCTTGCACTTTCTACACTTATTTTCGTTTTCATTCTTTTCAACGTCCAAATATTATATTATATATTTATCTCATTTTTAAGAATAAAAAATTTTGAAGGATTTTAAACACAAAAAACCTAAATATATAATATTCGGGTGTTAAAGAGAGAGAAAATTGAAGATTGAGTGCAAAAAGTGCAAACAACGCCAACAGACTGTAAACATATGATGACAATGGTATCCACCATGATTGTATGCATGCTTCTACAGACTACATGTTTCCCATGATTTACAGGATTCACTAAAAATTTTGAAACTTTAAAGTTATCAATTGTGCAAAACTGTAAAACGCAATTATTGTATTTGTTGCATTTAGATGCAGCACTGTTAATAAAGCATGGCTTATCCGTCATGTAATTTAGTGGAGGCTGTCGTTGATGAAGTTGCCTTAGAAGGTTTAGACGGCATTACTTTACAAGGTTATTTAATTTTACTTTTGTATCGTAAATACTATATCATTTTAGATATTTAAGATCAGATTGTCATAATAATTTATCTATTTCTTTATTACAATAGACTGTTATGTTAATTATTGTTTAAACATATATAATTTTGAAGTATGTATCTTATTGATTCAGCTTTATTTTTACCTTTGCATGTTATTCTTATATTTGTTTGTTATAAATAATGCATTGATATATTTATGTCTCCTTATTTCTTATTTTTAGCACTGTGGATGCGATTAGCAAACAGGTTCAATGATACGCTGCCATACCCTAAGCCTTTCATGGAACAGATATGGATAATATGCACGAAAGTAAAGGATTTTCAGTTTTACAAATTAGAATCATCCCGAGATCCGCTTGTGATATTTGATCGTTATGAACATGTACATCCTGATCTCGGTATTATACAAGAACCAGTAAGTATAGATATAATAATACTTGTATAATTTTGTATAAAATATTCTTACTGTAAAGCTATAAGAAATGTTGAAATATTTGCTATTTTATTAAGAAGATTAAGTTACAAAGTGATTTTGTAATTGCAAATTTGATTTCTTAATTCTATTTTGAATTTGACTTGTATTTTTTATTATTTAAAATCTTGTTCTTTTTACATTTTGAATTTTAGCCAATTGTTCCACCAGATATTTATCCCCACTGTCCTATTCAAGATCCCAAGACAGGTGCAAGGGGATCTTGTTCTACATATCATACAAGAAAAGATATCACAAACAATGTGACAAATGTAGGTTTAGACGAGGTGACAGAAAAGTATGGACGAAGTTTGGTGATTGTAGCATCTCAACGCATTAGATCACGAGCTTTGATGAATGTCGAAGTAAGTCCGACATTGAAACTGAGTATCATGCACTATTGCTTCTTAGAGAGAGTAGGCCGATCTCGTTACCATGGTGAAGTCACTCAAGGCAAACTCAGCTTAGCTGCGCTCAAAGAAGATCCAAAAACTTTGTTCTACCATCGAAAGTTTCTACTACAACACAAGTTGATCACGAAGCAAATCCATCATCAAAAGAGCGCCGGCCATTGTAACAGTGGTAGTCTGTTGCATCTACCACGATTCTATGTAGAACGAAAGCCAAAAACGATTTATCTGGCCGAACAAGTGGTTGATATTCTACGATCTAAAGACAATGGCGTGGCTGATTACGATGAGATTAAGAAGAAGCTTGGAATTGGTAATTCTATCAAGAAACTGTTTAGAATCGCTGTTTTTCAAAAAATCGTAAAGACAGACATCCGTGTACCATATAGAACATTGTATCCTAAAGCAGAGCCTAGTGAATGGCGGCAAAAGCAAGATCCTTCGAAGGAGAAAAAAATTAAAGTTGTCCAGGTGTTATATCCAGATGTGGATGTTGCTGATATATGGAACAAAGAAGAAAAGGAAGATGATGAAGACATTGTTGAATTGGATATATCTAATCATTTGTTAAATGTTCCTTATTTGAAACAAGCAAACGATGTTATTGAAGCTAGTCAAGCCGAAGGTATATCTCAAGGTTAGTAGTAAATCATAGATTTTTTGTTATTACCAACATTTACTTGGCACTCTTGATCGGGTTCAATATATCTATAGTTATATGAAATTGGTTAATTATAACTATTTCTCTGAAAAATGGAATAACTGTGTGATTGGTCTATAGTTTTATATATACAACTACAGATGTTGTTAAACCTGATTAAGGGTATCACATATAAACATAATTATTGTTTTAAAATTTCGTTATCCGAGATACGAATTCATGCTCAAATTGTAATATAGTAGAACTCCATTTACACACACACGCACGCGCGCGCGCGCGCGCGCGCGCGCACACACACACACACACACACACACACACACACAATCATATTTAAGCCTATATATATATATTTTATATATGTACATATATATATATATATATATATATATATATATCCAAATTTGTTGGGGCACATTTTTGGTAACCAAATGATTTGGACAATAAATATTCAATAATTTTCCTCTATCAGTTTAGAAAGACTGGAGTAGAGCATGTCGAGTTTCTGTTATTCGAATTATGACGCTGTAATTTTAATAATAGCTCAGCTATAAGTTTGACTATTTGGAACATAAACTCGTTCATGTAAATGAAATGCAGATGTGTGTGTGTGTGTGTGTGTGTGTGTGTGTGTGTTTTATGTGTATGAATGGAGTTCTACTATATTATAAAAAATTAATATACATTCTCTCTCTCTCTCTCTCTCTCTCTCTCTCTCTCTCTCTCATTTTGTTATTTAATTTTCAAATTACAAGCAAATAAAAATTAAGAAATTTTAAATTATAATTTTTAGCTAATTTGGGAAGACAGATGGGTCTCACTAAATTACAGTCTAGGTCATTTATGAGAAATGTGGCAAAAGCGGGTATCGCTGCAACATACATGAATGACATGGGTCGGCAAAGGATTACAAAATATGTTTCAAAGAAATACGAAAAAAGCAGCAAAATGAGTAAGCAATTTAATAAAGAGGTACATAAAATTAAGGAACTCTCCAAGAAAATAACCAGTAAACGTAAAGATAATCTGAAGAACAAAACATCTTTGCAAGCAGAAAACGAAAAGCACTCAGCAATCCCAACAATCCACGATCAGACAAGTAAAAAATCCTCTTCTGATCATCACGTTGATAAAATTGATGATATTGATGCACCAATTATTGATAAAGATAAGATTCTTGATGAAGAGAAAGATAAACGTGCAGATGAAAACTGTGCTAGAAAGGAAACAGAATTGAAGAATTTGTTTTATGTTGTCAATAGAATTTTATATAAGTATCGATTGTCAAAAATTCGATCTAAATACAGATGTACGACGTCAAAATCTTTATTAATAAAAAGAAAATATTTCGATACCAATGTGAAGAAGAAAAAGAAAGAAAAGTTTAACAATTTCAATACGTCTTTGCAGCAAATAATTAACGATGCTAAAGCAACGTCGTTTTATAATAGTATAAAGACAAATTTGATAACACAAAAGCCCATTCGCACTGGAAAAGGAATTAATGAAGTCTTTGGCTTTATGGAAATTGTGCAAAATACAGAAAAGAGAAACTCTAATATTACATATAGGTTTGTATAAATATGCACATAAGTATAAATAAATGATTAATTAAATTAATAAATATATTAAATTATTGTTCCTAGAGAGAAATGTATGATGTATATTAATTAAATAAGAACTTTTATTGCATATAATTTTGTCTATTTTGCTGTGAAATGTAAAATTTATATTTTTGTAACTTTTGAATATTTTTAAATTTAAAAATACGAACACTCCAGATTCTTTTATTGTAGATATCAATGTTATTAAATATTTTCTCTTCTTATATTGTTTATTTTTGTATTTAGATTGTTAAGACGTGCCAACCTGATAATCGAGGCAGTGAAAGAAAATCAAGTGATTGATGATACAGCAAAACTTATGAAGATGATTTACGAGGAAGAAGATAAAGAGGGTTACGATGTGAAGATTGATAAGAGGTCTCTCATCAGACTATTACAGAAACTTGCTAAAGATAACTTGGTGAAGAACATCAAATTGACTTTGAGCGCAAATGGACGTGAGAAGAATTTGACGTTTATTTGTGATCCTAACATTGACACTAATCATACTGTAATTAAATCAGCTGTCGAGCAAGCGAAAGTCAAATTCTGCTTATTAGCGTCTCAAAGAAGAGTGAAGAAGACAGATAAGCAGGAGAAAGCAGACAAGTCGCCTAAGGAGCAATTGCAAGAGCTCAACAAGACAGCGACTAAATTATCCTCCATTAACTATAAGCATGATCCTAAAGCTGGCAGACGTTACGGTTTCAGCCCGAAATTTGTCAGGATGCGAACGATACACATTCTACTATTCTATCTGGTCTATGATCATCCTGGCATACCGAAATTATCTCAGGAAAAGCAGGTGGAAATGCTCAGGTCTAATGGATACGAAATCAGCGATGATCTCATCCCAGAGTTCAGTACCATTTACAACACCGAAGTAAATTGGAAGATGTTTATTCCACCTTTACCTAAACATAATGGATGGTCCGAAGGTTGGGCGTTGATGTGCGACGTTCTGTTAGGGTTGCCCTTGTCGATTTTCACCAAAATACATAATGTCCCCTTTGCGATCCCGGATTTAGATCGCTATTTAAGTCATCCAATCAGACAATATTACCTCGTCAAAAACCTTCCAGTGAGTTTTGACTCTTAAGTATTTTACACATTATAGGAAGATTAAAAACACGACTCAACTAAACAGTCTCGAATATTAGCAATCGTGATTTTTATTATTCTGCGAATCAACTGAAAGTTAGGTATAAGCTTGGATCTTTGAAGATAGTACGCGATTTATTCTACTGATATCAATGGCTTTTATATCCTTGATCATCTTTGTTGAGAGATTTATGTTTATGCTTATTGTTTTTAATGATCCTCTTTTTAAATTTGTTAATAATGCTTACTTGACTTAAAGATTTCTTTTTAATTTCTAGGTTACTATACGCAATAGCTTATTACATGCACGGAAGTATATATTCAATATCCATGACACTATCACCAGATTAGGCTATCTTGGTCTGGTGCAGTTTGGTCCGCAACGGTTGAAAGACAAAGATCAAGTGTTCATCTATATTAACCGACGCACGGAATTGATGGACACGACTTCTTCGGCACCGGGCTATCATAAGATCGAAGATAAGATGTATCCAGTGACTAAATACTTCTTCGATCGCACACGAGTAATGTTGACTAATGTTGTGTTATTAGAAATTTTAAAAAAATATTAAAAAAAATAATGTTTGAATCTTCTAAATTTTTATTCTAAATTTTGTGGGATAAATTTAACTCTAAACATCGAGAAATTAAATATAATCTTCGTATTTTATCGAAAAAACCTGTTGTCGAAAGTGATAAAAATCACTTGTATATCTTTGATTTAGAAAATATATTTCGATTATTGAATTCAATTCATGTCAATAATCATTTTTCTAGCCTAATTTATCTTAAAACTGATCTTTGCTTCATCTTATTATATTACTGTGATATTATAATTTTTACAATTACAATAAGTAATATTATTTTGTATGTGAAAGTCATGCACTCTTAAAAAAACTAAGGTTTAATACATTTAAAAAAATAAATAAAAAGTGTTGTTTTATTATTAATATCTATGCATTTTAAGGACTAATCGAATAATTCTAAAAAAAATGAAGTAATATTTTATTAATAATATCTCATTTTTTTGCAGGCCGTTGAGAAATATTGGTACGAAATGTGGACTATTTGCGTTAATACTCTACTTGGCGGTAGGCTGGTGGTACATGGCAAGGATATTCTACTTGAGGATTTATGCAAGAAGGCTGCTATGATAGAAGCAGTTGCAGCACGCAATCCTAAAGAGGTCGCAGAAAGAGATATCGGTTTAATTCCCGGAGATCATAAAGGAGCGGCTGGTACTGATTCAGCTCTCTTCGCTCATCTGAAACGCAATTGGAATTGGTCAAGCAATAGTACTAAACATCCCCAGGTAAAGAATGACGAAATCATCCAAGATAGAAAAAAAATGATTGTTTGAAAAAACAAAATAAAACATCTCTTTCTCTTTTTAAATTTTCAGATATTTTTTAGACTAATATCATATTTTTAATATAAAAAAAATTTATAATAAATATTTTTATATTAGATAATAAGCATTTTTGTTTATATATAGAAATTTAATAATTTGTCGACTAATATAAAGATAAATTAAATCAATATCAGTATATAAATTAAATTGTATAGCAATATATTTACTTACAGAATATATTAATGTTATTTATGAAATATTTTCTTTGTCAGCAAACTTCTAGAACTCAGGGAAAATCCAATACAGGCCAACGAGATTTGCATTTATCGAAAATTCAAGTAAAGCCAATTAAATATACGGAATATGATGGTTTGAAGAAGATTTCGGGACCACCGCCGCCGCCTGTCGTCAGCGCGACCGAATTGCAGAAGAAGATACAGGAGCAGCTCAACACCGCCGGACGGAAGTACGAGGCTCTACCGTCATCGCATCAATCCAAAAGGCAGAAATCCTTTGTGCGACATGTGGTGCCGCGCAAGAAAAGTGCACGGGTCAAATTCGATGAGGACGACTATCGGGCGATGCAGCGGATGAATAAGCTACGAGTGGAATGGGACACTCACGAAGATAACATCCTGCTAGTATGCAAAGTAACGTCGACTTACTTGTCGCCGAATCCACGCAAGCAGATGGTCAGTTTCATAACGATACGAGATGTATTGCGAACATATTCTTACAGCTCGTACAACAAGACTTCGCGCGCCTGTCAGCGCCGGTTGATGTACATGTTGCGACAACCACGCACGGTGAACAGCGTCGCATTGGGCGTCGAAGAGATTAAACAAGATCCGTTCGTTGATAAACGATACGGCGGCGCGATGGAGAGATTGAAGGGCGAGTGTTCAAGCTCGATAGAGTATGAGAAGCGATTAATAGAGATTTTCAAAGAGCTTGTGGATTATATCATGAAAAAGTATTACGACATTGCGGAGATTAAGCCAAAGAAACATATGGCGATGCCAAAGACCGCGCAAGAATTTAATCTTCTTTTCGAAGTGGTCCATCCAATAAAACCGCATTATAATAAGGGCTTTACGAAGGATGTGCGAAGCATTACTGATATTCATTCGGCGATTATTAATTCTGTTATACATAGTTCCATGTGCTGTGGAAAGGATAGGCGTTCCTGGGCCTATCAACTCTTTATGGTATGATCGATATGTAATATAAAATATTTTATTCGCGAAAATAATACTCCAAACTCGTTTATCCTGAAAATTAAACTTTATTAAATTAAATTAAAATCAAATTTAAATTAAATTTTTAAATGTGTATGTGTTAAATAATATAAAATCAGCATTTGATTTTTTTGTGATTTATTAACAGATGTTACTTAAACGAATAATGTCTTTTTTTATTCTTATTCTTTCTATAAGATATCTATCGTTTATTTTAAGTAGAATTTATCCATATACTTATACAATACACATATAATCAATATGTTGATTTTATGTTGTTTACAACTTTTCAGAATTTGTAAATTGTATTGCAAGAAATTTTAATCGACTCATTAGTAACTTATTTTGTTAAAGGTGTATCAACACTATTCAGAGGCCCTTCTAAAGCAAGCAATGAATAAGGTCAAATCAGATCAAATGGTAACAGTAAAAAAGCATCACTTGGCAACTATTAAGAAATATGGCAACTATATGCCGATGAGCAGCTCGCAGTATCAATTAAGCATTAACTATATCCATAGATTTCAAACTAAATGGACTTATGATGTCTTTAAGGATTCTTACAATGTCTTTGTAAAATTATTGCAATGGTATTCTGAGCAAAGAAATATTGTCCCCTCACAGGAACAAGAAACATTTAACGGTATTGAACTTCCAGTTTCCAGTGGCATTGTCGCTGCTATGCATGATCTTTTAGCACATAATCAAATTGACTTTGATATTGAGATGCCGGATCAAATTATTATGTTAGACGCGAGATATCAAGGCAAAGATGAGACTTATTTTAGAGCTGCCCAAAGATACCAAGATATTTTAACAAGACTTTACCGTTTTAATCTTGAGAGTTTTGAGAACGACAATCAGAATGCTGAAGTTTCTGGAGTTGAAACGGAAGAAACTTCCCATAAGACACAAAAAGATTCTTTGAAAAGGAAGAGACCTGTCGAGAATGACAATTCTGAAAAACCAATGAAGATTTTTTGTAAAAACGAAGAAAGTAATGAAAGAAAACAAAAAAATCAATCTAAGAAAAGTGAAGATACATTGCTTGACAAAAATAACAAAGACGAAGACACGAATCCGAAGGATTGTTGTTCTAATGATCAAAGTAAGAAGAAAACGCGTACAAATCGTTCTTCAAGGAAGAGATCTAATATCGAGGAAGATTCTATGGACTGCGAAGGACAGTTCTTGAAGAGAGCAAGACTAAACTCCGAAAATTCGATAGATTTCGAGGATTCAGAAGAAAACGAGGAATCGAAGATTCTTGAAGAATTATATGAAGATTTTGGAAGCCTCGATAAAATATTTTTGAATAGCTCCAAATCAGTTAAATCAATGAATGAATTAAAGGAGCAGATGAAGGAAGACGGTACATTATATTTTTATAATTATAAAATTTTTATTTCTAGAAATAATTATAAAATGAAAGGTTTATATGCAATATTAATCATATTGCGATTTCCAATCAAACTTTATAATTGATTTGTCTAAAATAATATATATTGTTTTAATTCCAGATTCTTTGATGCAGCCGAGCAATATAATCGATATAACTCGGATTTCTCGACGTGTCAGTGAGATTATCAAGAACATGTCACCTAAGATGAGTTACTTTAGTTCTTGCAACAAGATAGAGGCTACAAATGACGTCCAAAAGAAATATACTAGAATATCCATGCTGAGGATGAAGGAAGAGCTAAACGATCTCTCGATGACCGACAGTCATCACGCACACGAATATTTCGTAGTTAATAGCTTTAGGATATTCTATAGCTTGGAATTATCATCTTCAACTATAGAAACATTAAACAACGTTGAGAATTTTCAAGGTTATTCGGTGCCTAGTCAATTAGTACCGCTGAAGATCGAAACTGTAAACGATTTTCTCAGCGAGTTAAATCAGACTGCAGTTTTTCCGAAGAACGTTGTTTCTTACACGGATTACAAAAACGAGTTTATGACGAAAAACAAAGAATTAACTGAAGCAATTAACTGGAAATATGCCGATGCGGTGTATGAATTCGTTCAGGAGAAGAAAGAAATCGGCGTCTGTTCGCAGGAACTGCTGGTAATTTATTTTTTACACACGCGCGCGCGCACACACACACACACACACACACCAGACAGCAGACGGACAAGCAGACAGAGAAAGAGAGAATTTTTTTTTGTATATTTCAGTGTGTGTTTCTTTGTATCATAAAGTTTACAAAAGTGACAGTACTAAAAAAATCAATGTTTCCAGATTTGTTGAATTATTAATTGAATTAAGTTCTATATTTAATATATTGTTTTTTAACGATAAATTTTTAATGGTTTTTTTCTAGCGATTTTTTGTATTTTAATCAGCAGTTCTTCTAAAAATATTTTACTAACTTTAGTTATTAAAAAAAAATTATTTTTCTTTTGTCTTATCCAGGATGAGTTCTTCAATAAACAAGGAGAAAATTTGTACAAGATAGTTTCGCTTTTAACAGAAAATCGTATATTTGTACGTTCTGGTGTCACCAAACCACGGTATATTCATCATCGTTATGTGGATCCCTGGTTAATTAATTCCTGTAAAATATATCGTCTTGAACAAGAATCCTTAGTGCCATTTAAGGATAGTATATATTCCACAATGCATCAAGGGAAAACAACTGAAACAAATACTGAGATAGATGCAAAAGATACAAATATCGACAATGAAAAAGATGCAAATGAGAAACGTAATATAGTTATATTATATTTTTTAATTTTATATTTTGCTAAAATATTTATTTCGTAATAATAAATGAATACATTAATTCTTGTTTATAATTATGGTATAATAAGATTTGATATTACAAATTCTATATATCTCATTTGAAAAATTTTATTAAAGTATAGACTTTTATCACATAGAATATAATATTCAATTTATATTTTATGCTTTACTATATTTCAGTGTGTGTTTCTTGGTATCATAAAGTTTACAAAAGTGTTGAAAACAGTATTAAAAAATCAACATTTCCGGATTTGTGAATTGTTAAATGAGAATTAAGTTATTTATATTTAATATATTGTTTCTTTTAAAATAAGTTTTAATAAATATTTAAAATAAACATATTGCAGGCGAAATAGATAGTGCGATACCTTCAACATCATCGGACAATCAAGACAGCAAAGAAAAGAAAAACACAAAAATGGACAATGACGTAATTAACGAGAAGGATGAGAAGAAGGAAGATAGCGAGAAAAGCAATTTACATACAAGAAAAAGAACGCATAAGCAAAAGACACATTTACTTCCACAAAAGGATGTGTATAAATCAGCGCAGCAACTAGATTTTACGTATGAAATCACATATGAATAAAAAAAAATATTTTCTCAGAAACCTCTTGAAAAATGATATTGAATTGTGTTCTCTTTCAGAACTGTCGAAGAAATAAAAGTTGCAATAAGGCCATGGATACGTATAGACGGCGTACTAAATCGTAAAGTTTTAGATCGAATGTTAGGTGCAGTCCTGAGTTATTGCATGCTTCATCCTGGACTCACGATGGCGAAAATGCAAAACAGATTTGTTCCCGTTCTACAACCCTATCATACACGTGAATTAGTTGAGGTTTGTTTTATTGATTGTCTTTATACTTGCAAATTGATAAATCAGTATTTCTGCACTCTTAAAGAAAGACTCGTTCCATTAGATCTTATATTATATATAAGTACTACAGAGTTTTTACAACTTATTGATAAAAAATAATATGCAACCTGTATACATTTTCTTTTTGATATTATTGCAGAAGCTAACTTTCAGTGAAAATAATTTTTTGCAGATGCTGGTCAGATTGGGATGTTTAGAGAGTAAGCTCTTGAAGAAAACACGCGTTACTCTATTCTCTGCACCACCTACAGTTAATATTAGTAATCTAAGTATGTGATCACTAAAATTAATATTACTAAAATTAGAAATTTTCAATAATCGATAATGAATGATAATTGATGAAATTGTTAATAATTGATAATTGTTAATTAATGTCTGCATCAACAATAACATATTTGCATTTTGTTAATTATCACTCCATGTGACGTTCTCAAAATATTATAATCTATATCTATACATAAATATTATTTCATATTTAAAAATTATCTCTATTTTAATTAAACATAAACAGATGCTAATATTATAATTTATAAAAGATTAATCTATTTCGATAATATATATATCTCGATAACGATATTTATTTCGATAACATCTCTTAAACATCCAAAATATTTGTGTACTAATTTCAGATAATTTGCTTTCTTGTCTAATACTCTATAATCTAATAATCTATAAAAATATTTTGGTAGAGTGCTTTGTATGATAATACGATTTTATTTTATTACAAATGTTACACAATTAATCTCAAGAAAAGATAATGGATACTTATATTTGGCGACATAAGTATCGTTCTATCTTTGTTATTCATGGAATGCCAAGAAAGATAGAACGACGTATGTCACGAAGTGGAAAGTGTCATATGCTATCTTATCCAAAACTTTTGCTACTTGCTGATATATGCTACATTCCTTTTTTTATCTGATTTATCTTTTTTTTTTATCAAATTCGTTATAATACATTCTCACTAATATATTTTTTATTTAATTTTAGCTGCGGACACCGTTGGTTGGTCCACTGAAGATGAAATAATACTTGAGTCTACCATAGATGCTATATTGAAATTTAGTATATTCTTGAGTACGAGAACATATAGCGCAGATTTTATGCCGTAATTATATATTTTTTATATACATACATATATCTACATATGTATACATATATTATGTATACATACATATGTGTATATATTGTATATATGCATGGCAGCACAAATGAAAATAGTATTAGCTACATTTATTGTATATGATTGTAACTGTGTTCGATTTGGACACTTTCAGCATTTTTATCCTTTTTTTTATATCAAACATATCTGATACAAAAATGAAATGATTATAAGTGCTTAAAGCACGTGAGCATCCAAACCGTACGAAGCTTATGTTATGACTATATATAATTTTTACAATAATATAGAAAGATGTTTATTTAATACCTTTGTATATATGATATGCTTAGAAAAATATTTCTGAATGGAATTATTATAATACTTCGATTCTGTATCTCTTTTAAAAATATTTTGTACTTTATTATTTTATTATTTTTTAAATATGTAAAAATTGTAATAAAGATACGTTGATGTTAATAACAATGTAATTTTTAACGAAAACTTTTTGCGATAAATTAAACATTTCGGATCTCGATGTATTTTTATGCACGCACTAAAACACAACCAATTTTGAAATTACCGCGTATTCAGCGAGAACAGCAATTGGCTGATAAACCGTGCACAAGCTCGAGGTCACCCAATCGAATTTATTATACTCAGCTGACGTTTTTTATGAACGCACGTATCGCTTCGCGCGAAATGTTCGTTTCTCGTTTGTTAAGAAACATGATGGACATTATTTCTTTTCATTATACTTTTCTGTGATTTCTCTTCCTCGCCTTTTTTCCTTCGAAATCCGAATACACTTCCATTTTAACTTTGCCGTAACGATTAATCTAACGGATCGTTTGTTTATTTCCGAAAAGTTGCGCCCGCGAGAAAGTGGGACTCGAGAAATGGGAAGAGCCGTTTGTGTATCGACAGGATGTGATGTAAGAGACTTGAGAATAAACAAGTACCAAGTTTTGTTTATGAAAATTGAAGAACTTATCGCTCGTGAGTTATAGAGAATTTACAACCTACCTTCAATCAATCAACCTTAACTTCATGATTGAAGTGTGTCATCTACTGTCCTGACTAAGGTAAACATTTTCTAAAATTTCTTCCCACATTTATGGAAGGCATGAAAAGACATGGGTAGACAAATATTTACAAATGGCAGTGTATATGTGCAAGAAATTAAAACTTATTGTAAGATAAGGTTTGTAAATTAATTATGCAATTTTATTTATAACTTATAACAATTTTATACAGACAGATTTTGAGTATATTATATATGCATCTGAAAGTAGATAAAAAATGGTAAGCAAAGCTGTGAGAAATTGTTGAATGACAGTTCAACAGAAGATATTGAATTTGGGTTTTGCTGTAGCAATAATAAATTGAATAATTAAAAAATGGAAACGTAATATAAACTACTTAAGAGAAAGAAATTAATGAATTATATTTTAAGAAATTAATAAATATATATTATGAGCAGTTTATTTGCATCATTGTTATTTCTAAGATATAATATTACAGATTTTTATGTCTTAATTAAACTGTTTTTAATAAGAAATTTAGTTTAATTTAAATTCTTATTATTAGAAACAAATATTTATAGTTACATGTTGCTTATATATTTAAAAGCTATGTTATATAAAATTATATATAATAGTAACATTGTATACAATACCATGATTAGAACATTTGAAATTTGTAAATTAAGTCTTGCATTTGTAACATTTAATATAAAACTTGCAGACTTAAAAACGTTAATGTACTTTGTTTAATGTACAAAATATAAGACATTTGATGATTAAACTTATATTTATTCTTCAGGTATTTAAGTAAAAAGTAAATTGCAGTGTGTTAAATAATATTGCATTAAAAAGAATGGATGGAACTGGAACTAACACTCGTTGGTGCTCTGCACCAGGTTGCATGTTGAATATAAAAATAATGAGACGACATTTCTTTCGATTTCCAAAAGATAGGAAAAGGTATTTGTATATTAATTCAAACCAGTTCAACCTACAAAACCTTATGCCCATGATGCTAGAAATCACTTTGAGATCTTGGACAGAAAAGAACTTAACTAATTGAATTAATTTACAGAATTGTTCAAATATATATATATATATATATATATGACTTTAATTTTGATTTTTAGCATTTGTTAGACATAAGATTTAAGATGATACATTATGTGTATATTTGAATATCTTCTTTTTTATTATATATACTTTTTGAAAATTAATTTCGTGCTTATATATGAAATAAATCTGAATATATCTTCAAATTTATGTTCTGTATTTGATATACCTTATATATTATATTTTTATTGTCAGATTTATATTTAAAATTATATAATTTTAGATGGTTAGAATGGATTAAAGCATGCAATAGAATGGATTTAGTGCCAATAGGTCCAGAATTTGCGAATCGATATTATCGAATATGCCATTTACATTTTCGAGTAGAAATGTTTCGAAATATAGAAGGGAGAATTTATCTCAGTAAAGAAGCTGTGCCATCAATATTTTTGAAGCCATTACAACAAACAGGAGAGTGAGTATATATTTATATTTGTATATCTATTACTAGTATAGTTATACAGTAATATTGCTACAATATTACTAGAAATAATTTCCAAATAAGACTATCAGATTTTAAAATTGTATTTAAGAAAAATTAAAAATATAACTTTTCTTTCTCTTTTTTTAGTGGTAATTCGTCTACGACTTTGTTTCAACCGATTTCTTTTGTAACTATATTTTTGAAGCCAGAAAGCAGAAATAGGTAAATTCGCAAGTTCTATTTGAATTTTCTCGTTGACTTTTTGCTCAAGAAGTAAAATAGTTTCTAAATATAATGCAATTTTTTTATAGAAACTCTACAGATTTATCACAATCTGAAGTATCTGAAATGCATCCCGTGAAACCTGACGAAAGGTGAGCTTCTTTTTGCCATAAGAATAATATAATCTGTTTATGATATAAACGATTTCAAGTAAATTTGTATATACATATATATGTATATAACTATATATACGTCATTTATAATAGACATAATAAATTCCGATTTGTTACATAAGTATTATATTTTTTATTAATTATCTTTATTGAATAAAAATAATTTCTTGATGTAGAGATACAGCCATAATTTCACCAGTACAAGCACTTTTTCCGAGATCCTCTTTAAAACAGACATATGAAGATAGGTAACTTCTATTTGCCTTAATATTGATATCGTGTTTCTAATTCAGTTTTTAACTTATATTCTGTATTATAACAAATAATATATTTAATTTTTATCAGAAATGTATCATCGGCTCAAACCTTGTTGCTAGACGTGAAGAAAGAGAATGATAACAGGTAAATTAGAAATGTAGAGATGTTAGATGTACTAAAGTCAATTAGACGCGTTTGAATTATATTATTTTCAAAAGATATCTAACTTATTTCTTTTCAATTAATATTTAGCATTGCCTTATTTATTCCTGTTTTGCTTAATAGAATTTAATGTAAATAAAAGTCTTAATTTGTTTACTATTAATATATGTCGAAAAAAGATAAAAGTATTAAAAATGCACTCTATTAATAGGAATACTTCCGCGGAAATACAATTTATTAAAGAAATAGATACGAATACGGAAGCAGTGTCGACATTAGCGCGAATATTTCCAAAAGAAGAGTGCAGTAATTCGTAAGTCACGATTTTGCAATTTCAACTTATATAGCGTCATTTATAATCGTTAAATACAGAAAGTATTATTTCTTTTTTAAATAGAGATATTATAGATTTAACATCTATAGACTCTCCAGTACCAACAACGTCGAAAACAGTATCGGTTTGTACACCACCATCAAAAACAGTATCGATTTGTACAACGTCGTCAAAAACAGTGTCAGTTCATACAACGCAACAAAATGGTGACAGGTAAATATCATTATCAAAGATTAATATTACCAGTGAAAATGTTAAAATTTAGTAAAAATTTATTTCAGCGATTAACGTCAGATTATTTTACTAAAATATACAAAAACATTAATTTAACAATAAAATAAAGATATTAAACATAAATTTTGTTAAATGTTACAGGACACCAAAAAGAAGACATTGGAATATTTCTACACAGACACCAGAAGCTTGGATTCGAGGGAAGAGACCTATGGAAAAATCTGAGATTTGTGCTGATAATTTGATCACAAAGCGAAGGAAAACATTCGACGCGGAAAACGAAGACAATCGTCTGAACATGGATCAATTTAAAACGGCGTGTACAGATTTACTACCACGTAATTCCGCCATGTTAGTTTCAGCATGCATCAATGCTTGCGAGAAGCCTAAGACTAAAAAGAATTTTAAGGATAAACAACTCGCGCTCGAGTTATTCTTCATGGCATCAGGTGCATACAGATTTTACCGACCGTTATGCTTGCTGCCTACAACGCGTCAGCTGTGGAGACACATCCGCAATTGGGATATACCGCCCGGCTTGAATGACAATGTGCTCAATGCGTTGCGTTTGAAGATCAAATCGCTGCTGTCGACGGAGAGACATTGCTCCCTGTCTGTGAAGGAAATGCGACTTAGACCACATCTCTTCTACAATCTGACGCGCGACAAGATCATCGGTTTCCACGATACTGGTACAGAGAAGCGGCGCACGCTAGCGAGAAAGGTTTTGGTGATAATGGCCTGTAGTTTAGTTGGCGACTGGGAACAGCCCATCGCCTATTACTTTCATAGCAATACGTGTCACACCGATATTTTGAAGGATCTGATATTCCAAGCAATAATTAGATTGAAGAGCATCAATGTGACCGTACATGTTCTAATTACCAATACATCACCAACATTTCTGCGATTATCACGACTACTAGGGATCTCTGTGGAACGTCCGTCATTCCTGGTGAACAACGAAAGAGTGTTTTTCGTTTTTGACGTTACACGGCTAATGAGAACGACCAGAAACGTGTTTAGAACTCATGACTTCCGCTTCCGCGATAAAAGGGCCTCGTGGAT